TCATTATTATTTATTTTCCTTCCCATAAACTTTTCCGGTTTATTTCCTTTAAAATTTTCAACACATTTACTGTAATATTTACAGTATTAACAAATATAATATGTATAAAAAAAAATTAGTTTTTAGTGCAAACTCAATAGGTCATCAAAAAAATTTCGAATTAAGTAACGTTACGTGAATGACAGATTATTTTAACGTCACTCTCGCATAACTTTGCATACTCGTATTAGTAAGAGAACAAACCACCAGTCAACAAAAAAACTCTTATGAATACATCTAATTTGTTTTGCTCATAATTTTTTTATTTTCATTTTTTATATGGGTAACTCTCTAATTACAAACTACACCTGGATTATAAATTTTAAAAAATTACTAACATGTAGATGAAGTACAAAAAAAAAAACTGCTTGTATGCTTAAAATGTTATAAAAAAACTACAAAATTTAAACATTTTTAAATAGAATTTTTTTTTTAAATGTTTAAAAAATCGGTGGAACGTGTTTTACGTTTTATTAACGAAAATAAATATTTTCCTTTTTTTTTAATGATTTTTTTAATTTTTTCTTTTTTCGTCATTTCATGCAATAAAATGGCTAATTCCCTGCAATATTTGCAAAAACAAATGAATCAAAAATGATTTATAACCGTACATTATGCTTCAAATGAGTTTAAAATTTTCAAATTTAAGAATAAGCTGTCATAGGCTTTTATTAATAATATTGAGAACGACATTAATGACTCAAATAATGAGTGTCAAAAATCTTTTAAGTAAAATTTAAAGTGAAATACAATGGAGCCACGATATAAATGATAACTATTTATTGTATAGCGAAAGTATTATTTTGAAAATTGCCAATTCTAAATTCATTTACTTAATTATTCTGAAACTTTTAGTTTTGAAGTTTTTTTTTTTTGTTGAACTTAACGTTTTACAATCAGCCACTCAAAATAAGTTATAGATGACTTATGAGAACTATGAATGAATTATTAAAGGTTTGCTCTCGAAATATTAAACGTCTCATAATAATTATTAATTAATTGATCATTTCATCGAGACTTTACTGTACTTAATTCGATGCACACACTATAATGGGAAATCTAATGTAAATTAATAGAAAATAGTATATGAATGTATGAATAATGCCTCAATTTTTGATCTAACTAGAGCTTTGAATTGCTGAAAATTTAAAATATTTCTTGTAATACTTTTATCACATCATGAAAATGAGTGCTTTTCTAAGGAATACTTTCAAGGCCAAACATATTTCATGCACTTTGGTTGATTTGATTTTAGAAATTCATTAAAATTTTAAAATAGAACGCCTCATTAAACGAAATTCATTTCATATCTAAACCTTGTCTAACAACCACATTATACTAAGTACTTAAACATTATTTTGTAAAATAAAATCAATTAATCAAAATATTCTAATTTTAAAAATCTTATCAAAATTTCTAAAATTAATTTCAGTAAATATTTATATTTATTTTTACATATTTACATAAATATCAATAATACAATATAATTTATATCAATAATATAAATTTGCTACAGCCCACAACAAGTTCATTAACTTATTAAAATAAAAATAGAAAATTAAATGTAATACCCATAATTATATAAATAAAAAAAATTACACGCTAACTAAGTAATAAATTATCTGACTAATTAACTTCTTAAGATTTTTCAATTAACATTTTACAAAAACACCAAATTGTAAAAGTAAAGAATTTAAGCCAAAAAAAAAATTATAATTAATTAATAAATTATCTTATACATATACATATGCACACAATCAATTCAATTTACTTAAAATTACTTTGCCCCAAAATATAAATTTGTTTAAAAATACAAAAATAATTCAATTTTAATTTTAGAATATTGTGAAAAAAAATAAATATTAGAATTCTTTTTCAAAGAAATTTTAATTTCTATTGTTTTAAATTTTCTATTAAAAATAATTAAAATTAAAATAATTTCTAAATTCTCTATTAAAATTGGCCATCATACAAAATTCAAAACATCATACTAATAAATATAAAGGTTTGTGTTCTTCGACACAGTTTGTTGATTATTTTCAAATACAAATAATTTTGTAATTTTTATTATATAAAAAAAAAAATTGTTTTTTTTTTCGTAATTCTCTTCCTTAATTCTATCACACCAATAATTTTATAATTCGCGCAAAAAACCCAAAAATTATTTCATTTTAATTAAAATATTAAAATTGAAATTCAAAATGGTATTATAAAATTAATATTGTAAATTCATGATGCCTTTAAGTCAACTTTGGAGGATGAGTGTAGATAACGCAGATTTTGCGGGAAAAATGAGTACATCTCATCAGCACAAAATGGGAAACACTGGAGAACTGCGTACTCACTTCGGCTTCAGTCTACCGAAACTTTCAAATTACTCGAATCCATCAGGGGGATGAGTCTCAAGGGGGTGGTGTATCAGCGTATCTTACACCTTGTGAGGCAAGACACAATGGATCCTTTATGCTGGTCCCTGTGCACTCTTACTCTATCTGTACATTTTACAATCTACAATTCACATGATTCTTCTAATTAAGAAACAATTACATTTTGCGTATTCTATAGGTTTTGAGCAATATTGTTGACTTACACAAAAAACCATGTTTGAGTAAAACAATCTCAAAAACATCAAATGTAATCGTTCAGTTGTATTGACATTAAGCTGTGTTAAAAATCAATTAGTAATGCTCTTAAGCATAACTTTACAAAAACTTAATAACTTTAAACTTATCTTAATATCAAGCAGAACAAACATATATTTTTCTGGCACCAAAAATATTAAAAATGTTTAGTTGTCACTTGTATTTTAGGATGATTTTTCAATTTGTTAAAATTTTTTCAGAAAAAATTTAGAAAAGTAAGGCAAATTAAATTGAATTCTGAATTTTATTTTATTCGGTTTTAAGAATATGGTTTTTTACTTTTATACTAAAGAAATTAGAAGAATGTTAAGAATTTGAGTAAAATCAAAAAAAAAAAAAAAATAAGAGGAAAATGGAGTGACTAATCAAACACAATGAAATAAATTCTAGAGTGATTTTTCCAGAAACTAAGCAAATACCGAAATTCAATTCGAATCGATAATTTCCACATTATAAACGAAAATTCAATTAAGTTTATTAAATATTTTTATTTTATTTTCTAAAGTCTACGCAGCTTCGTCTATGAGAAAAATCAAATTATTTTACCTTAATGAATTTGCAAGTGTAGGAAAAATTGTTTTCAGTTTATTATTAGCAGAAAAAAAAACAAAAACAAAATTAAAATGAAAAAAAAACAATTTTCATTTTTATTACACATTGTTTAACTTTTTTTGTGCATCTTACACTTCAATAATATTGTGCATATTTTTCCATATTTCTGCCAGATTTGTATATACATTATAAGATCAACATAAAAATAATTAGGTTGAAATTTTTTGTAAATATGTAAAAAATTAAAATAAAACAAAAAAACGAAACAAATTTATTTAAAATTTAATTTAACAAGTATACATACATGTATGCATACATGTGTAAATATAATGTCGTATACAAATTTACAAACATGAATAACGCAATCAGCATAAAAACAGGGTTATTACAAAAGATTAAAAGAAAAATCTAAATTGAATTTTATAATTCAATAGGAAGGAATTTTTAACAATTTAATATTTGTGTTCCAAATTATCAAATACCAAAAATAGTTAAGATCAACCAAATAATTCAGATGGTTTGTGGACTAACAGATTTCTCCTATAAAATTGGCATCACATTTAAAAAACAAAAACACGACGCTTTTCTTTTATTATTTTCTTATATTATAAGAGAGATCTTAATAATAAGAGAGATTATTATTGCATATTTTTAGGAACAGATCAAAGTATAGAAACAAGAGACAATTGAAAATGCCGGCAATGGACCCGACCATGATTTCCTATTAAAATTTATTAGAGCTGTGTACTGACGAATCTATTTATAAAATTCACGGAGCTAAATTTCCTACTCTACTTTAAGATTACTGAATTTCCTACTCTACTTGAGATTTAAATAACAAAATAATTTCTCACGCACATAAACAGTTTAATATATTTCTGTAATTAAATAAAAACAAGCAAGATCTCTTATTTTATGCATTCAAATCAGAATTTTAGATAATCGTTTGCGAACTACATCTAAAATTTTGTTGTTGCCAGAAAACAGTAATCTTTTCTAGATTTTTTGAAATTACAGCAAAATGTGTAATTTAGTAATTTAGTTTTTAATATATTTTTACAAAAATTGCATATGGCTAGGCGTTTTGTTTTATTTACTAACAATAAAATTTAATTAAAAACATTTTTATGTGTGAAAAATTTTATTACATTCCGAGAGAAATCATTGCTATTCTTATAATGATAATGTTAAAATGATGATAGAAAGAGAGGCATATTATAACCAGGTGGAAACTTTTATAAAAATAAATTTTTATGATTATCACAAGTGCTCATACATGAGAAGTGTGAGCAACATAATTTACGCAAATTTGGATTTATATTTATTCACTCTGTATACCCTTGAAAAACAAAAACAAAAAAACAAAAAGTATAAGAAAAAACACTTACCAAAAAAAAAATTAATAAAAAGCTTCAACAAGAACTGAAAAACCATGCTAGTATTATGCATATAGAAATTAGTATTTTGGTGACTTTTTCAATAAAAATTGTACAAAAGGCACAAAATTTTGAGCCCTAAAAATAAACTTTTCTAATTATTTTATTATTATTATTTTTCGTTTTTTTTTAATTTATATATATTTTATATATATAAATATATTTATTTATATGAAAAATATGCAATCGCGTGAATTATAAAAAAAAATATATAAATTTTTTACAACAATATGACCAGTTCAAATTATTTAAACCAAATAGAAAGTTGATTTTAATAAAAATCTTTAATATATTTTTTAATTATTTCTTTAAAATTACTTTAAAAATGTTAAATGTAATACAACATGTTATAATTTATAATAAATAATTAATAAGAAAATTAATTAAATCAAATTAATAAAAAAATTAATAAGAAAAAAAACCATTATTTTTATTAACTATATTATAATTAATTAATTAATTATTAAAAACAAACAAATAAATTAAAAATTTTATTTAAATGTATAGTAAATATTTGACAGTAATCAGATGACAACATCAAATAAAAAATATTTTTATATTGGTGGAGTTGTTGGTGTTGCATTACTTGCATTTTTAGTACATTACTGGTATACACATCGTACAGATGATGATGCTAAACATAAAAGTTTACATGCATTAGAGCATGCTGTTAAACATAAATTACGTCATTTACATGTCGATTATTTATTAAGAAATCCAAAATTTTTTATGTATCGTAATAAATTATTACGTAATTATAAACCACAACCATATGATGATCCAACTGTTATATGGGATATTGTTAATTGGTGGCCAAATGAAAATGATATATATCCACAATATGATTCAACAATGGGACAATTATTATTAACATTAAAAAATGAAACAATTACAAAAGCAAAATTAACACCAAAAGGTACACAATTAAAATTATTATTAAAATTATCATCAATACAAAAAGTTATATTTAAACCACAACATTATAATCGTGATGATATTATTGAAGGACCAATATATTCTGGTAAAGATCGTCATAATTCAGAAATTTATTCATTTTATTTGGGTGCAGTATTAGATTTACGTTGGACACCAATTGCTGTTGGACGTCGTATTAATTTAGAAGAAATATATAAAGTTGCTGATTCAACATTAAAAAAATATTTTATATTAAATGAAATTGAAAATGGTGAAACAAGTAATACTAATAATGATAATAATAATAATAATAATGAAAATGATAATGATAATAATGGTGATAATGATGATACTAAAAAAAATATTAATTATTGTTTTTATGGTACATGTCATTTTTGTAGTGAAGATGAACCAGTATGCGGTGATGAAAATAATATGCTAGAAGGTGCTATATTATTTATGATACCTGGTAATATACATAAACATAAATCACCATGGCAACGTACATATAAAGAAACAACACGTGCCGAATGGGAAGATAATATGCAATTTTGTAAACCATTAAAATCAAAAATGCAATTAACATTATTATTAGATTTAATTGATGCATCAATATTTGATTATTTAATACAAAATGGTGATAGACATCATTATGAAACAAGAGATGATCGTTTAATATTAACAGATAATGCAAAAGGTTTTGGTAATCCAAGTAAAGATGTATTTGATATATTAGCACCATTATATCAATGTTGTTTAATACGTAAAACCACATGGGATAGATTAACTGTATTATCTGGTGGTTCATTAACTGATTTAATTGATCGTATGACAAAAAATGATGATTTATATCCATTAATTAGTGAAAAACATAGAAAAGGTATAGAAAGAAGACTGTTAACAATATATGCTGTTGTAGAACATTGTATGGATTTATATGGTGAAGATATATTAAGATCATAATTATATTATTGAAAAATAATATTATGTGTAAACATATTAAATTCAAATATATTTTATATTCATAACAATGCAAAACAAAAAAAAAAATAGCAAAATGTAATTTGAATTTATGAAAATTCAATGAAATACCTAAATTAAATTTTTTATTTTTTGTTGTAAAATTCTTTCGCAAATAAAGACATAATTTATATACATATGTGTATGTGCAAAATATTTATAATATTTTTAAATTGATCACTTAAAACGAAAGTATTATTGATAACAATTAAATTAAATATTATATTAAATAAAGTAAATAATTTGTTTTATTAAAAATAGAAGAAAAAATTGCATTTACAATTTAACAAAAATGTTGAAAATGAAGTATTTTATTTTGTGATTTTATTAACCACATAATTTTGGAATTAATTGAAAGTGGATCTGAATCAAATAATTGACAATTTGGAGACGAAATTAAAATTATTAAAATTTATTTAATATTTGGTACGGTCAATTCAACCAATTATGTCTAAAGTGAATCGAGTTCAAAATTTACTGCAATATGGAACGAAAAACAAATATTAAATAATTTCATATTTTAACAAATTATTAAATAAATATTAAAAAATTCAAACATCTTTTTCTATATATTAAAAAATTGAATGATGTCATTATAAATTTATAATTTTTTTTTTTTTTGTTATACTTCAATTTTCATTTAATGCAAATCTATACAAAAACTTTTCTCACAATATAAAGACGGAATATTATAAAGAAATAATTACACACTTAAATTATTTAATATGCAATAGTGAATTATTTTAAATGCGGTTTTAATCTTTATTAATTCATTTATGTATACATTCATATTATGTTTATAAGTATGTATATGAAAAATACATAATATACCTATATTCGAATAAAACAAAAGAAACCGCAATAGCATTTAATTTGAAATAGAAAAACAGAAAAAAAAACCAACTTGAGAATTATTTTAATTCTTTATGTTAGTTGAAAATTTACAAAAATGGTTATTAATTTCTATATAAATAATATACGCTATTTTAGGAAGAAAAATTACTCATTACATAATTATGTATAATAGAAGATAATAAAATAATAATTGGAAAATTATGAAATAATTTAAAATTCTATTCTAAGTTTTTCAATCTACCTTAGACTCACATTCTATATGCATAGAATGTTCTAGTTTCCTAATATTAAGTACTAAGTATAAAGTAATTTAATTCAATTAATTAACATAACAGTATTGCCAATGATTGTTAATTTGATAAATCGATCTACTTGCAGAATTATTTACAATAAACATATACATGCATCATAATATACTTATTTACGTTGACATAAATTTTCCCAGCTTCCACTTTAATATTTCCAATATACACAAATGTATACAAATTAAATTATTTAATTTTACTAAATAAATAAATTAATATTCTCAAAATTTTAATGATTTCTATGTTACTTTTAACAAAATCATTAATTATCATCATGTTATACTTACGTTAAGTATATACACAAACCAATTTGTAAAAATAAAATTTTATACAAAATTGCAAATCAAATTCAATTTAAATAATCAAAATATTTTTAATTTTAATTAATAGTCATGATCATATAATGTTACATTACACCTATTAACTGACAAGTAATAAATTTAAAGATCTAGGAAAATAGGTACATACACATATTTCATTTCAAAAAGTGGAACTATATTTTAGGCAAGAATTGGACAGAATTTACAAAAAAAGTAATTTATGTATGCGCGTTTTTAAAATTCAAGTAAAGTACGTAAAACTATGGTGGCAAATTATGAAAATTTTACAAATTAAATACGAATTTAATGTGATTTCAAATTTAATAAAAACAAATCTTTTTTAATGGAAAGAACTAAACTAAAACTGGATTGGCTTAAAAATTTTTAAAATTTTCAAGTGTCTGTCTGTATTGAAAACTTATAATATTCAACGTTTTTGCTTGGCTTAATTTAATTAAACTTAAAATCAAAGATATCTGAAGCAATAAGTTGAATTTTTCAAAACATACGCATTTTGACGCAAGTGATTTTATGTTACACAAAAACAGTAACTATTAATTATTTACTTTGTATTTAATATGCATGTATACGTATACATATGCTCTTACTACCTACTCTTCAAAATTGTTAGTTATCGTTTTGCACTAACTTGTAAAATAAAAAACTAAAATTAAAATTTCGCTCATATTTCTTACACATTCAACAATTAAAAAACTTTGTTGCGGAAATTTTCTTTTTTCTATTTTTCGCTTTAAATCTGCTTTTATTATTTATTTTTTATCTCTAAAAAGAAATCGCGAATGTTTAAATTTTTTAATTTTTTTTTTCACAAATCATAACCGTTATGGTCATAAAATTTATTTTTAGAGAGGAAAAAAAAATAAAGAAAATTTGTCCCAACAAAAATTACATAATAAATGTTTTTAAAAAAAAACAAAAACACAATTTTAATCAGCTTTCATCAACAATCTTAAAAAAATTTTGCCTCATATAAATTAGTGTTGCCGTTTAAGTTTTCTCCAAGTAAATTTTCAAATGTTTTTCAAATTGAATATTCTCAAAAATCACAACTAACTTAGGCAAGATTCACGGTGAATGTGAAAATTTTTAAAATCTATATATTCTTATGTAATAAACTCAAGAGTTACGGCGAAACATTATAGTAAAGTAAGTGACTTACAAAAAATATTATCAACACCTGAAATTTCATGCTTTTTTTTGGAAAATTCAAAACAAGGAAATTAAGGTGAAGAACGTGGTATAATAATCATAATATTATAAAATGCATACAATTTCATTTTAAATTTATTATGAATTTACTACAATTTCAGTTAATGAAACGATAACACTGCTGAGTGCACAATCCTGATACCTTAATATTATCAAAACAAAATTTTTTTACTTTTTTTTTTTTATTTTTAAAAGAATTTAAAAATTTTATTTCGATAAAATTTACTATTCAAGGCCAAAGTAATTTGTATGCAAAAATTAAAAAATATCGTAAAATGGGAAATAAAAACAATAAAAACACTAAAAATAAATGTAGATTGAAACGAAATCGAAAAAAAATACGTAGAAATTCAAATTCATCTCTTGAAAAAAAACTGATATTTTTTTAATAAAGCCACATACATACATACTTAAATATAAGTTTCGGAGAAATCTATAATTTGAGTCACACACAATGATAAATTAAATCAAAACAACAACTTAATTGGGAAATACCACAAAAAATATTTTAGAATTTATTCATTAAGTAAGGGTAAAACTGAAAGAGAATTGGATTTATTTTTTATTTATTTAGAAAAATTTAGAACAAATTAAAAAAATATATGAAATAATAAATACCAAAAATGTGCCATAAAAATTTTGAAGAAGAGGCTCGAAAATTTTGTATAATTAAAATTTCTGGAAAATCAATTGAGTTTTTTTCAATAACTAAAAAATATTTCAGAAAAATACATAAGAAAGCTATGAATTTAATGCTGGAGAAATACATACTTAGCTGTATTTCAAATTGGCATGCATGTATATTACTTCTCATTTGACTCCTTAGAAAAAGTAATTAAAAAAGCATCTTATTCGGTATTGCATGACTCACTGTATTCTTTCATGAAATATCCAAGAACAACAAAATGTAAAAAAATCGGTATACTTTATTATTCAAAAAAAAAAAAAATGTAAAAAAAATGTAAAAAACGTAAATAAAAATGTAAACAACGTAAACAAAAATGTAAAAAACATAAAAAATTTGTATATTTTCCACAACACAAAAAAACACTTGGAAAATTTTTCTACTTCGAAAACATTGTAAAATTTCCTAAATATTTTATATGAAGCCCGGTATTTCACATGTTTTTGGCAAAGTACAAACATACAAAACTCTGAAGTAAAATAAAAATCCACAGATTTTGCTGTACACAGTTTTTATATATAAAATAAGTAAGTTTTTATGTACACAGTTTTTATATATAATAATCGTCTCTTACATATCCCGATCAAAATTTAAGGGCTCAGAAGCAAAATGACCTAACCCTCACTCCCAAAATTTTTACTCTTTTGTTAAAAATGTATATATAAAATTAGATCCTAAATTTAATTTTATCGATACAAAAAAATCAAATACCTATTTCCTATATTCCGTACCCAACATTCAATTGTTTCCAATGCAAAAGTGACCTAAACTAAACCACATATTGTGGCAAAAATTTTTGGAACTGAGAATTAGGCCATCATTTGCTTCTGTCTAAATTATGAATAAGTATTTACTTCTTGTTAAAAAATAAGAAAATTTTGTAATTGTGTACACTGCTTAAAGGAACCCTTTATACATTACATACATAATTTCAATATAAGCATAATAAAATTTTGTAATTGAAAAATATAATTTACTAAAATTAATAAAAGTTTTGAACAATTCGTATTTCATTAAAAAGATAAAAGTTTTACTGATATCCAAATATTTTATAATACAATCATATAAAAAATCAAATTATTATTTACTTACTTACTATTTATATAGAGCGTCGTATGTATAAATCAAAAAATTTATTTCAAAACTTTACCGATTTAATGTTTCTTTTTTTAATTGATTTAAAAAAAAAATTTTTTAATTTTAAAGTACCTCATAAAAAATTCATAAAGATTTTTATCTAATTTTGAATTCAGACAATTGAAATAAATTTTCCTTAATTAAATATTTAAATGACATCAATCCAAATTAAAATTTTAATTTTATTTCATTTAACTATACAATTTAGGTCAAACTCATTTTTGTTGTTGAATACTTATTGAACAAATAAAAGTGAAATTCTCATTAAATATAAAATCAATTATATATGTAATTGTATAGCATCCCTTTTAAGTACGAATGCAATCGAAGAGGAAGGGTTATCTTCAAAAACTTTTAAAATTATAATTTCAAAAGATTTAAACACAACTTTTATAATGGAATAGTGAAATCCGAATATAAGGTTATTGATATATGAACCAAATACACTTAAATTCACAAATAGACACTTATAGAGGCAATGGTAAATATTTCATATATTTATACTAATATTTATTATATGTATATCAGTTATGGTATTTATTCCAAAATATACTCCATATTCGTATAAGATAATAATAATAGGATTAAAATATACTTGTTTCAATCATATTTTTCTAGGCGACCTGTTAATCGAAAATAAAGGAATCGAAAAAATTTTTTGTTCGCGTTACTTATGGCAGGCATTTTTTGTCATATATTTTACTAATGAACAATAATAAAAAATAATTTTTTAATTTTGTTTTTTTTTTTTGGAGGCACATTTACCTAGAAAATTATGCTTATGATAAATTTTGCTCAAAACAATATTTTTTTTTTTAATTTGAAAGAACATTGCAAAAGAATTTGTTTCGGTTTCTTTTTTTTTTGGCCTGAATTTTTTCCTTGATTACAAATTTTTGTACATTAGTAAGTAATGTATGTATATATTTAAATATTTTTGTTTAACCTCAAAAATAAAGTAACATATTGTAAAATTCTTGGTAAGTTTAATGTGCATTTTGTATACTTACATACAAATATAAGTATTGTTTACATTAAATATCAAAAATAATTATAAATATATCATTCAAATTATATACTACTCGTATATACTCGTATCTACAAAAACACATCGAAAATATTTAATATTTTGTAAAACAATAGAATAATTATTATCAGAACTCTTTGACCACTCCTTTCGGGGTAAAAAGAAAGGTATATAACAAAAATACGACTTCAGGAAATTTATATCTCGAAAAGGAAATACACGGCTGAGCGGGGATTTATTATAATTCACCGCCAAAATATTGTAAAATTATATAGACAAAAAAAAAAACAGACATTTTTATATTACGTCCAAAAATACTTAAGTAGGACATTTTAATGCAAAAACTGGAATAATTTTTATTTGACAATTAATAGAAAAAGGAGGATAGGATATCTGACTTATTTAGTCTATATATAATTGAAAATACCAATTAAATTTCGCAAGACAGTGCTAGTAAAACGTTATAAAAATTATTGTTAGAATATTTGCTAGTATTTTTAGTCGTCTTATTCGTCAGGTCAATAAACTACAACATACCAATTATTACAATACTTGTTACACAGATAACCGCATATACGTATGTCATCTCTTTATTTCAAATCCTGGTCTAGGGTAAATGTAAGATTACTTCGTAAGTATATTGTCTTTTACACTTGTTTTAACTAGTTTTTAGTTCAGCAATTTTAAAATCCAGAATTACAATAGATATTATTATATTGAATACCTACTACAAATCTATGTTCCCATTGTTTATTAGTGGTTTGTTCAAGCGGACGTGAACCATATCAGTTATTACGTCTCACGTCTAAAAAGCTACTAATCACCAATATTTGAGTTCAATATGAGGAGGATTTTTTTTTTATACTTAAGTTACTATACTGACTTTATGGTTCTAAGTAGAGAAAATTCTCTACTTTTCTCTATATTTGTTTAGTATAATCTTTGTCTATTATTTACTCTATTCTTTCCTATTCAGTATTAAAAATCAGCCCGCAGATAACTGTTTAAGGGTTAAAAAAAAAAAACAAAAATATTGTATACACCCATGAGTAAATTGAATTGGAATTTTTTTAATAGCATTATGTCTATTCAATGGTAATACTCTTTTAGTAAATACTTTTTAAATAGCTTATAGTTAATGACAATATAGGAAAAGAAACAAAATGAGTAAAAAAATATCATTTTTTTTTGGGTGACAATACCAAGTCAAATCAGAGAGAAATATTTTTTTCTTTTATACTTTTCTTTGATTAATTTATTCGATATGAGAGTTATGAAAAAAAAAAACAGAAAGGTTAAAAATTTTTGAAATATAGAAAATGAAAGAAAACAACCAAAATAAATAATTTTTGAGAAAGTCAATAAATAACGATTATTATTATTACTCTACGACTCTACTCTATATAATTTTTAATATTTTTTTTTTTTTACAAATATTTAAATTTTTTTTGTTTATTTTTTTTTTCTAAAAGCGTAAAAATTCATTAAATATTCAAAATTTTCGCATATTTCTAACATTATATGTGTATGTATAAGATTATACGAATAATAACAATAGACTATAGAGTATATAGACTGAGGTTGAATTCATTTAATATTTTTATATATAAGCATAGATGACATATACATACATATCTATATGTAAATACGTAAATATCTATATTTTATCTCTCTATTTATCTATCTCAGCAAAATAATCTAGTTTGATTAATAAAATAGTAGAAAAAAATGGGCGCTTAAAAAACTTAGTGTTAAATAAAATTATTACATAGTGTGATCCATAAGTTTAAAATGTCTTATGATTCTAAAGCAGATTCATGGAAGATTTTAATGGAAGATACACTCTTGCTTATTTAAAATGAATTATTTTACTTTTTAAAAAAATTAATATAATTACAATTTGATAATAATATTTTCTAATATTTCTCTATAAAATGTACTCCACAAGAACTCAGGTTTCAGAAGCCCTAATTTTTCGAAAATCTTACTTTCCTTTATAAAAATCATTCCATCTTTATGATTAAGGTAAAACGCAATTTGCTTCCAAAATAGAACTGTTCCCTTTAAATATTTCCAAAATTAAAGCATTTCCAACAATAAAATCCATTATCAGGCCATTTTGATTTCAAATTTTGAATTTTTTTCCTTATAAAACATATTTATTCAAATTCTCATTTTTCGTTCAAAATTTGTTCAATTGTCAAAATATTTTATCTTAAAGTAGAAGATGAAGATTTTTTAGAAATATTGTAAAGGAAATACATTCTACATATTTTTGGAAAACAAATCCATGTAAGGATATTAAAGCTCCTATATTTTCAAAGTAGTCTCAAAATCAGGTTTTTTTAGAAATAGTCAAAAATATATTGCATAGTCTTTACGTTATGTATTTGTAGTGTTGCGCCTTGCAGTAATTGTAATGCAGTATTGCGTTTATGAAAATCTCTATAGAGAAAACAAGTGCTCGTAACAAATTTGAAATTCAAGTTAAAGACTTTTCCATTACAATTCGTCAAAATTAGAAAACAATAACAAAATTATTTCTTTTAAGTTTTAAAAAATTCCAATATTTTTTTTTACCTAAAATATTTCAAAGAGTTTGTAATTTGTAAATTTTTTTTTTTTATTTAAAAAAAAATGTAGTTTAATAAAATAAATCAAAAAAAATAAGACAAAAGTTGAATAAAAAAAAAAACACTTACGCCTCACAATATGGAAGTTTATTAAATCCTTTGTATGTTTTCATGTTTAATGTCATTCCACATTCGTGGCATTTAAAACACGTTTTATGCCATGTCTGAAAATAGAAAAACAAGACAAAAAATTTTTTTTAATGAAAATAATAATAATAATTTTTGTTTTTTGTTCATTTAATTTTAGGTGGAAATTTATTTATTTAAATATTATTAAAACATTCGCATAGTTCATTTACAGGTACACAATGCCTACAAGTATAATAAAAAACAAAAACAAAATAGTTTTACTTCTCAAGCTTTCTTTCAACAACAAAAAAGAAAAACAAAATGTGAGTTTGTATGTAAATCAAACGCATGAACATAATTCTTTTTTTTTTTTGTATTGAAATGCAGAGGTGTCATAGTTTCCGGAGTAAATATTTAATTATTTCATTACAGATTTAATTTTTGTGTTATCTTATTATTATTTCATTTATTTTTTATATCTTGTTACTTATATACAAATACATACACTCATTTATTTATATACAATATTATTATTTAAAAATTATGCAAAGTTTAAATTAGGTATTCAAAGTTGAAATAAATTTTAGACACCAATATGTAATTTTATTAATAAAGAGATATGAAAGAAAAAATATTGTAGGTATGAATTGAATTTTTTTTTTTTTTTTGAAAGAATTGCAAATTTTTTGAATTTATAAATAATTAAAAATATACGTAATTATATAATATTTGCGACCTAATTAAAATTTTGTTCGGTAAAAGTAGTTTTCTCGAGACGTAAGTAGAATATTTTCTCGAGACGTATAACTGCGTATGGCTTGATTGCCACATGAGGGGAAAAATAAATCTCATTACACATTGATTAAAATTTTGAAGAAGGCTGTTTTATTTGCTTCATCTAACTAGGAACTGCCATTAGGTTCCAAGTGCTATTTTTTTCGAAAAATTACATTAAGTAAGACGAAGTGTCTCATTTGCAAATAAATATAGGCAATAATAACGATCCACAATTGCTTTTTCAAACTGATTTGTCATAAATTAATAAAATAAAGTAATTATTCCACTTTTGTAAACAATTTTAATAAATATTGGAAAAACAATGATTTAATAAACATTAACCAAGAGTAAAAGCACTCTCTCATCTAACTGAAACTTATAATTCTCTAAAATGAGGAAATAGCAATTTTCGATCGTGTATGTAACTTATGTATATATGTAATACCAAATTGTAAGTAGAAATGAATAAGTTAAGCAATACAATACAAATAAAAGTACGTATTAGTATTTTCTGAAGTATTCCTTTATTGTTGTTCCCCTAAATGTATGCAATAAGTTAATATATATTTTGTTCCTTTTGGTAAATTTTAAAAATATTTACAACGATACCATATTAGTCTAATTTAAAAAAAAAACCTCAATTTCAGCAAAGTTGCCGAACAAAAGTTGTAGAGATTTTGTATAGACTTTCACAATGACACACCGAATAACGACCGCATATATGTAGAATTATTCTAAAGCGCCTACCGGAACCTTGTACCGGAATAATATGAGTAACAGAATAATATGTGTGAATAACATAAGTACTGAGTAAAGCTAAGAGTCAAAGCCCTTATAATAAAATTATTAATAATAATAAAAAAATCAACAAAATGTAAACTGTGTAAATACGAAAATATCATTAACATACATAATGTTTACTTAATTGAATTTAGAGTCGAACAGTAATTTCTTTTTTATATTATAATCACGTAAACAAAAATTCTATAATAAGAATTTTAGAAGAAATACAAGAGTGACATCAGTATAGGTTAGTCATTTTTTTTTAATTTTACTTAAGTACTTCTTAAATTTCTTTTTATATAATGCGTATATATAGATATGCAAGTATGTACAAATTTGATACTTAATTCAATTTACAAATTAAGCTTTTAATTTTGTTATACGTATAAGAATATACTCAATGATTTTTTAATTAGATTTTTGGAATTCATTTATTTTCTTTAAAACGTAATTTATTTTAAATATGGATAATCTGTAATCAAGGTTAACGTGAAGGTATAAGTAATCCAAAAATGTGAGACATTTAGTTTTGTATAACTATAAAAAATTTCGTATAATCTAAGAATATTTCAATTATTCAACGAAGACTAAATGATTATAATCATTGGATCTTCATATTATATAAGTTGGAGTGATTTAAATTTACAATACCTATTAATAAATAATATTGGGTGATAAAACTTTCAACTAGCTTCGACTTATTTCTACTGCAGAGGTCTACTGCATTTCTACTCACTTTTAAATACGTTCTTCTTCTTTTGAAACATAAACATAAAATTGGACGCGCCATTTCACCATAAATCTCACCAAATTACAGTTTGCTTTGAGTAATAAAGTAAAGCTCATCTATGGTGACAAAGCGTTTTTGTTTTAATTGCATACTAACTAAATATTGTCAAAATTTAAAAAGTATTCTCATTGTGGTGGCTAGATTATTATTCGCAAATAAAAATCTAACATTTGAAATATACAAACGTAAGTATGTACACACACTGACACAACGCATAATAAGTGTAATAATTGTCTTAATATTTAAATTCAAAATACGCGCATACACTTACTTAACAAAATATTTACTTCACTTTTAAGCAACTAATATCAAAAAAAGATGTTTAATTTGACATAAAAAAAAATCAAAAATATTCAACGGCAAAAATGTATGAAGACAAGCGTTATGAAGAAATTTTAAAAATGGAAAAACCAAAAAAAATTAATTTACCTTTACTTATATTTTAATCGCGTACAGCATTTTCAAATAAGTAACAACTTTTTAAACAAAAAGTTACACTAAATATTACTCAAAATGTGAATTAACATGAGCACGCAATACTCACCAATCACAGCACAATATCATAAAAACAATAAGCGTTATATTATATATTATAACATTACATAATATTATATTAAAGAAACAGAAAAAAAAATAATAACTGTAAGAAATGTAATAGTGGACATAGACACAAAACAGACTGTGTTTTGTCATTTTATTGAAAACTAATACGCTACATGCATCTTTGTTATATAAATCGCACCCCTAAAATATTTGCAAAATCATACAATAAAATGAACTTTTTTTAAAATATTTCTAAAATATACAAATCTAGAGCTGATAGCTCCGGAATTTGATTCCAAATTGCAAAAAGTTGAACAATTTAAATTTTTGAAATGCAAAGTTTAAATTTTTGCCAAGCCAATTGAAAGCTTATATGATCACCTCATTTTTTGAAAAGTTGCATAACTCCAGTACTTGTTATGCAATCGATAATAACTAATTTGATTTAACGAAATTTTAGATTACATTTTAGTATTGGCTAACATTTGAAAAGGAACACCATTATTTAAATTTAATATTATTTGGAAGTGTAAGTATAAGAAGTTACAGAGTAAGCCAAGTCATAATTTCTAGTATTTTAAACATTTAGTTTTTAGATTGAAAGCAAAATATGGAAAAGCCGCAAATCGGTATGTAAATTTTATTAGAATCCGATAAGTCAGTAGTCATAATTTACTTCATAATCTTACGCAATTACCAAGCTCCAAGTACGTATTGAGTGATCCATCAAAAAAAATCAAAAAGTTATTTTTACATTGATATACTTCTTAGTCAAAATATCACCAATTAAACATTGTTTTCCAAAACCATGACCGTACAATAATCAATATATACAACAAATTTCCCGTCAATCATATAGAAAATCATATAGATGCTTAGGAGAATTACGAAATTTTTGATGACTGATGGACTAGTCTAAAATATCGAATTATTTGATCACTGATTTTTAATAATTTGATTAATAAAACATACAGTGAAATCATTTTGAACACATTCCATGGACAACTGCAATAAAACAACCTTGAAAAATCAAAAATAAAAGCTGAAGAATCAAATAGCAAAAAATTCAATATTTACTATTCACTATGTATAATAATCATCTTTCAGGGGTGCAAAATCTATGAGCAAGTATAAGTACATGTGGTAGCTACTATTGTACATATATGTATAAATGGTACATGGTTGCGTTTTTGTAATAATATTATGGAGACATGTTAGTTGAAAATCACTCTATCAAAATAAACTTTTTTTTTTTCTTTTATACCCATGTTTTTATTACCCACTTACTTTTTTTTTTGTAAACGTGTGAGTATAAGTATGTAGTATATATTTTGTTTTATGTAAAGAAAAAATGAAAAATGTTTCACTTTCACATTTTAGCGCCTAAGTGAATCCCAATTATTTATAAATGGTTTGTTACGATATAACACCATATTTACATTAAATTTTTTTCTTTTTTTACAAAATCTACGTAAAATACGTAAAAGTTTTGTACATTTATTGATTGATACTCTTAAAATTTCTTTCGAAAAAAAAAAATTTTTATTTTTTGGTCATGAATTAAAAAGATACATAGTATGGATATTGGATATAGATAGGTAGGTAGATGGTTTTGATAGGTAAGTAGGATGAGTTGTTCATTAATGATGGGACCTACACAAAAATTAATTTAATTTTGTAATATATATGGTATGATAATCGATTTAACTTGTTAATCATTTTAATAATATAAGATTATTTTATTTTTGATTTTTACTTTTACCTTAATTTTACCATAAGGTTATTTTATATATACATACATATATATGGTATAATAATGTTATACTTATTTGATATATACACAGTCTATATTTTTATAATTTCAATCAAATTAAATGTTATAAATTTCGAAAATTTTAATAAAAAAGAACAAGATGTTCGAAAAATTAATTTAATATTTTAAATATTTGGATCAAAAGAAAATTGATTATGAATTTTGTACATGTGTATTGAATGCTTACATCTGGTATTCATTAATGTCAGTTAAAACTGAACGTATAGTTTTAAACTTATATAATAAAAAATTTTTTAACATACGATAAATAGCACGTAAATACTTAATTTAAAATTCAATAAGTGTAATACTAGTTATTGTTACAAATGATTTAATTTTTTCTGTACAAATGACGAAAAATTATCAAATTTTTTCAATTTGAAAGGGAA